AGGGTTACTGTCCACCACAGAAAAATCCTTCGGTGAGGAACAGAAGTAGTCGTTTCGAGCCGAAACGATCTCCTCGAGTACAGACCGTTTTCACTACTTCCAAAGTCGAGTTCGCCAGCAAACGTAAGTACATAACACTAGATATTAACGGCAAACGTATTCGTCTTCAGTTGGATACGGCATCAGATATCACCGTAGTTTCCCGAAATACGTGGCGCAAACTTGGTTGCCCACAGATCCTGCCGACCGAGCATGTCGCCAAGAATGTCTCTGGAGATATACTGAAACTCGTGGGTGAGATAAATTGCCAGGTTCAGTTTGGTGAGCATCACTTCAATGGTGTATGTTACGTTACAAACTACCATGATTTGAATTTGCTTGGTCTTGACTGGTTAGACAAGCTCCATATCTTTAATGTACCATTAAATTCCGTATGCTCTAATGTTTCGTCCTCACCACACAACGTTGTTCCCGGAGATGTATCTGATCAATCTCTCTTGCAACGCCTTCGTAAAAAGCACGCTTCTGCCTTCCAGGACAAACTTGGTTGCTGCAAACTGTTTGGCATCCAGCATATTCGTAGCCCCTCGTATCATCCCCAATCGAATGCACAGACTGAACGTTTCGTCGACACCTTTAAGCGTGCTGATGCAAAAGCGAAGGGGGAGGGAACAACAGAAGAAATTTTGGATAAATTCTTGCTGCATTATCGTACGAATGAAAAAGGACAGTTATGTGTCAGACACACAGATCACGCTCTATCCAGTACCACGCAAAGGTCAACTCGACAAAGAAGAGCTCCGAAACCTTTTCAAATAGATCCAAAAAGCAAGTCCTACACTCTTTACGGGGGGAGGTGATAGGATCCCACATATTTTGGTATTGACTGTTTAATCTTGCATATATATATATGGTATATTATCATTCTCACACATTTTGGTAGTGACTGCTAATTTTGTATATATGGTATATTATCATTCCCACACATTTTGTTACTGACTGTCAACCTCGCACATATGGTATATTATCATCTCTCACGCACTTTGTTATTGGCTATTAAGATAAATTATTTCAAATGCTGTTAGCTGTCCATATTGTTGTAAAATGTATAAATACCATGGCTTTCTTTATCGTCGTCGCACTTCAATACACAGTCACAGTCCAGCCTTTGTCTTTTGATATTTGCGTGCTTTACTAAGTCGGAAGGTACGACGAGCAGATAGACAGATTAGTTCAGGCGCAGACAGAATAAGGTGAAAACGTATTCATTCAATACCCTACCGTTATAACAAATTGGCGACGGGGTTTTACCTTAATTCAGTGCAGTTATAACAAATTGGCGACGGGGTTTTACCTTAATTCATCGCAGTTATAGCAAGCAAACGACGACAGTTTTTATTCTGTTCAGCGCAACTATATAACATTTTTGACTGTGTTAATTACAACCCAATTACAATGTCTATCTCTCTGGACGATCTCAAATCTATCTTGCAGCAGCAGCAAGTTCAGAATGAAGCAGCTCAACTAAAATTAATCGAAGCTCTCACTCAGAAGCTGTCCATTCAAGTTCCATCAACATCTCATTCTGACAAATATGAAAGCATCTCAAATTCCATCAGTGAGTTCAACTACGACCCAATATCTGGTCTCGTATTTGATGCATGGTTCAATCGTTACGAAGACGTCTTCCGTATTGAATGCTACATGTTTGGTGATGCTGCCAAAGTCCGATTGTTACTAAGAAAACTTGGTACTGTTGAGCACAACAGATATGTTAACTTCATTCTGCCCAAGAACCCACGTGAGTTATCATTCGATGAGACAGTCACCGTTTTATCACAAATCTTTGGTGAAGAGTCATCCATGTTTAATATTCGGTATCAATGTTTTCAGTTGACAAAAATGCCTTCCGATGATTATGTCACTTACGCTGGCAAAGTGAACAAGGAATGTGAAAGGTTCAAACCACACGAAATGACATCAGATCAGTTCAAGTGTTTGATTTTTATTTGTGGGTTGAAGAACCCAGAAGATACTGACATACGAACTCGACTTCTGTCACTTGTGGAACAAGACCCGAAAATGACTTTACAAATGGTGACAGCAGAATGCCTACGTTTAATCAACTTGAAGCACGATACTGCTATGGTGGAGTGCAAACGACAGTCGTCTGAAGTTGGTTCGATTAACACAGTGAAAAGTCCTCCGATCACCGTTAAGCACACAGAACGTCAGTCTCAAAATTCAGCTAAACCTCCTTCAGTGTGCTGGCACTGTGGTTCGTGGCATTTTGTCAAGTTCTGTCCTTTCAAGAAACATAAATGCCGTAATTGTCACCGTTTTGGACATAAGGAGGGTTACTGTCCACCACAGAAAAATCCTTCGGTGAGGAACAGAAGTAGTCGTTTCGAGCCGAAACGATCTCCTCGAGTACAGACCGTTTTCACTACTTCCAAAGTCGAGTTCGCCAGCAAACGTAAGTACATAACACTAGATATTAACGGCAAACGTATTCGTCTTCAGTTGGATACGGCATCAGATATCACCGTAGTTTCCCGAAATACGTGGCGCAAACTTGGTTGCCCACAGATCCTGCCGACCGAGCATGTCGCCAAGAATGTCTCTGGAGATATACTGAAACTCGTGGGTGAGATAAATTGCCAGGTTCAGTTTGGTGAGCATCACTTCAATGGTGTATGTTACGTTACAAACTACCATGATTTGAATTTGCTTGGTCTTGACTGGTTAGACAAGCTCCATATCTTTAATGTACCATTAAATTCCGTATGCTCTAATGTTTCGTCCTCACCACACAACGTTGTTCCCGGAGATGTATCTGATCAATCTCTCTTGCAACGCCTTCGTAAAAAGCACGCTTCTGCCTTCCAGGACAAACTTGGTTGCTGCAAACTGTTTGGCATCCAGCATATTCGTAGCCCCTCGTATCATCCCCAATCGAATGCACAGACTGAACGTTTCGTCGACACCTTTAAGCGTGCTGATGCAAAAGCGAAGGGGGAGGGAACAACAGAAGAAATTTTGGATAAATTCTTGCTGCATTATCGTACGAATGAAAAAGGACAGTTATGTGTCAGACACACAGATCACGCTCTATCCAGTACCACGCAAAGGTCAACTCGACAAAGAAGAGCTCCGAAACCTTTTCAAATAGATCCAAAAAGCAAGTCCTACACTCTTTACGGGGGGAGGTGATAGGATCCCACATATTTTGGTATTGACTGTTTAATCTTGCATATATAATATGTTATCATTCTCACACATTTTGGTAGTGACTGCTAATTTTGTATATATGGTATATTATCATTCCCACACATTTTGTTACTGACTGTCAACCTCGCACATATGGTATATTATCATCTCTCACGCACTTTGTTATTGGCTATTAAGATAAATTATTTCAAATGCTGTTAGCTGTCCATATTGTTGTAAAATGTATAAATACCATGGCTTTCTTTATCGTCGTCGCACTTCAATACACAGTCACAGTCCAGCCTTTGTCTTTTGATATTTGCGTGCTTTACTAAGTCGGAAGGTACGACGAGCAGATAGACAGATTAGTTCAGGCGCAGACAGAATAAGGTGAAAACGTCTTCATTCAATTCCCTACCGTTATAAGAATTTTCCCTTCCACTCTCAAACCTAATAATAATTCAGTGAAAATAGAATTAGAACATTTTAATAATAAACCTAAGCGATGTTGTAACCATACTTTTCTACCTACTTTATAGATTTTTTTTGAGGCCACTTTCAATTTCACATTGATTCAATCCTCTTGGACAGAAATGCTTGGTTTCTGTCGATGTGTTAGTCCAGTCCATGGGGAATCAATTCACGAAATAATTTCAACAAATGACAATTGATACCTACTGTACAACAGGTGGTTCTGTCGTAATCCAACGGATAAAACAGCATTTGGCATTTGAAACGACTGGTGCTCTGGATTCTAATTTCAGTAGGAACACTAAACCATACTACCATTACTTACTGAAGAGGGATGAAGGTATGTGTCGATTGCTACTGATAAGATTTATCAGTAGTATATATAGATATGTTCATCGGCATAAAAACATTAAATAGCAAGGAGACAGATTTGATGTCAGAGAAAGTAAATAATTCAGCATTGCAGAGGAACATGGAAGACGTGAAAGGAACATATAGAAACACAATATGAAGGTCAGAAGTAGCACAACACGGACGACCTGTGTAAATGACGATTTTCAGATAAGGTGTACATAATTTCGCTACATATCGATAACAAATTCCACATAAACATTCCTTTACCAAATCTCTCGTCTTCTACCGTTACAGGTACACCCATCTAGCTGACAGCAAGTAATCCCAGGATAGGAAAAAATGAGCCTCCTGGATTTTACCACTACTACTATGGTGAGAGCTGCCTGCAAGCCAAAATTGTAGACACCAATTTACGTCAATGTATACGTCCCGAATTGGGGTCATGAGAAGGAACAACAGCGAAGCTTAACCTTGAGGAACTCACCAACCAATCACAGTAGACTTAACGTGTGCAAATACGATTCGCAGATACATATATGGCCTGACCTTCTACGAAACGGACTCACAGAGAGATGTCAGAATAAGCTTCAGCAAGAAAACAACCAATCAGACGAGGTTTCTTCTCTGCTAACAATAATGCTAATAATAATGTACATAAAAATCTATAAATATCGCTTGATTTTCTCAATAAACGATCTGTTGCCTGACCCTTGTCTTCTATCGTTCCACTACTACTACTAGCTACCACCAAATCAAGTAATTTCACCGACTAAATAAAAATAATAGAGGAATATTTTTTATGGCAAGGATTAAAAGTTAGTCGTAGGTTTGACAGTCAAACAGCTTTCATAAGAAGCGTGTTGGTGAACAAATTCACAAGTGATATTTCTCTCCTGCACCCCAGACCCAGCCCGAATTTAAGTAAAATTCAGTTTCATTCCTTTGTAAACAAAAATAAGTCTGGTTTATGTATATAAAATTATAGATATAATCAAAGATATACATATTATGAAAATAAATGCACACAAAATCATTACAGATTGTATATGTATGTATGTATGTATGTATTATTGCATGTATATATTAATCGGATAGTCAGTGGGGGGGGTTTTAAAAAGCAGTACGTGTATAGAGGTAAAAGTAGTAATGAATATATATATCCAAATGAATGAGGAATCATATAAAATAATATAAAAATAACAATACTAATTAATGATTAGTCGAAGTTTTTGTCGAAGTCGTAGTATCCTTTTCTATACTTAATTCAAATGATTCATACTTTTGAAGTTCTGCGTTGAATTCATCTAACCATGAGTTGTATGCTTTCTAAAATAGGCAATGAAGAGGGAAAAAGGTAACTGTAATAACATATGTATCATATTTTTTATTTAAAGATGGAAAATACATTTACAAGTATGTCTACAAATACATCTCTAATCAGACTGGTCAGTTCAGCAGATATACAGTTAGGCTTTGCGATACACATCTCATATCGTCGATGCTTACATACCACAAATTGAAGGTACTCAGATTTCGTCATTATCGAGTAGGCAAGGTCTAGGAATACACCCTGGTCGGAAGTCCCACCTGTCAGGAAGGTACTCAACCACTGAACCAGCCCGTCCCACAGCTAGCCTGATAATGTCAGAAATACATTTCGAGTAACAAAGTCCTAACTAAAACCAATTATGTGAAGATTTAATATACTACCTTCAGATATGGTATGATGGGATACCGGTGACTAATTGGTTGGAAGTCGAGCGATTATTTCTCGAATCCAGGGTTAGAGAAATACATAGTTTATCACTCTTGCAGGTGAAAAGTTTAAAGTCGCCTCAACAAGTTCATGCATCGAGGTAATTTGTGTGAGTGCTGCCGGAGGGGAGTTATACAAGAAGTCTCTTAAACGTAATGTGAAGTCGTCGCCACGTCAGCCTAGTTATCAAAGGTCGGTTTTACAATGCTTCGATGTGCAGTCTTACGCCATAATTGTGAAACTTGGCCTCTCCGAGCTGAGGGTGTGCTGCATCTCAGTAAATTCGATCACAACTGCCTCCATAGAATAGAATAGCTTGGGTCAGATGGCATCATAGTGTAAATAATTCCGAGGTCCGACGGCATGTGTTTGGACACGGTGGGGGTCAGCATTCATGGAGTGACTTGGACATATGCTACGAATGCCATCTCAGAAGCTTCCGTACTGGTCTCTGTTCGCCAACCCTGGGACTGAATGGGAAAGAGGAAGAGATGGTCAACTTTTAACGTGACACTTACATTAGCGTCGGTTTGTATATCACAACTCTCCAACTGAGGTATGAGAGATAATTCGAATCAGTGGCTAGGAACGTTGTGAGATATGGGGTCAAGAATTGAAATCAGTAATAAGAAGTAATGAATATCTTGAATGAACGTAACAAGTGTGGGTACTTGTTTTCTGTAATGACAACCCTCATTCATTCTATTCTTACTTTCTCCATAATATTGCTGTTTTATTACTTTTGTGTGGCGCATTTCTTAGTGTGTCAACTTTGTGTTTCAAATAAATAAATAAATAAATGAACAATAGTCGTTTATCCAGTTCAAAGAATCTACTAACCTCCCTATCACTCTTTGATTCTCTTTTACGTCGTTGACCACTACTTGAAGTTGATTCTTTGCTACGATCTGTCAAATGAAGAAACAAAACACAGCACAATACAGATGATTGATATGATGAAAGATGCGATATTTCCTTCACAATCAAAAACATACCAACAATTACAAAGATATTTGGGGTTACACTTACTTACTCGATACGCATTGATAACAACCCACCCACTCCACCCCCAACAAACGTCAATAATACAACAAGATTTAATGCATTCATCAAATTTCGATAAAACTCTTCAGTTGAATACTCTACATACGGCAAAGTTAAACTTTAAGCACCACCAACTGCCAATCAGCGAATGGCCTCGAACGAACCAATCACTTGAAGAAGGTATTTTTGTGCATGGAATACATATATTTATGAAATAATGCATAAAAACTGTGGAAATGTGTTAGACAGAACACCTTCTTCTCACATGTGATAAAAATAGTTCTCAGCTTTAGGTTGGAGTATCAACAGAGTATAATTCTATTGTGGGTAAAATTTATTTTGATAAAGTCTCAGTGTTATACAGTAATATTTACTGAGTAATAAATCGTGCTAGAAACATTGTCACCAGTAAATGTTACTGCATAACACTATGAGACTTCATCAAAATAAATTTTACCTACAATGGAATTATACTCCACCACAATGCACAAGTTGTATTCTTATATCAACAGAGTAATTTAACCACATTTTATGTATGTAGGTCTTCTAACCCTAACAATAACCCTAATCTTTCCTAAACCCAGTCCTAACGTGGAAATTTGCCTACACTAACCCTAATCTAACTTGAACTGACGCTAATGTCGCCTTTATTAGGTTAACCTTGTTACGAAGGTGATTGAGTCTTAGAACGATGAGTGATGCTTGAATCTTGAAAAGACGAATGAACCAAGAATTTAGGCTTTATTCATTTTACAATGAAGCCGGAATGGCTTAAACATATAAAGGAAAAAAAGAGTGTTAATAGCGGTAGAGATATGAATATGACTAGATACGTATTATAAGAAAAGTTCACAACATTCACTGCGGCTTGAAAAGGAATGAGCCATTATGTCACGCTTCTCTGGTACGCAAATTGTAAGGCCGTACACGTTGTTGTTTTTCCAAAAGAATACGCCCGTTGTTCGTTTCAGTTGTATTTTCTTCACGAAGAATATTAGGATCAGTGGTCGCATCCCCATTTACTTGTTGCTCAGGAATTGCGTCGCCCTCCGGTATTGAATTTTCAACTTGATCTATATCTTCGCCTTTGGGTGCCAGATGATGAAGAGCAACTGTATCTTCACGTCCATTACCGAAGCGAACGTGAGCGAATTGCGGGTTACAATTCAATAGCTCCACCTCTTCAACCAGGGGATCGAATTTGGACTGACGAACACTCCGCCGGAGAAGTACTGGTCCTGGCACAGTGAGCCAAGTAGGAAGAGTTGTCCCAGATGTCGATCTTCGGTTATAGGTAAACAGTCGTTCGTGTGGCGTGGCGTTCGTTGCAGTACAGAGCAAAGATCTGATGGAATGCAAGGCGTCGAGTAGAACAGACTCCCATTGTGCCGTTGGTAGGCCCCGTGATCTTAATGCTAGAGTGATGGCACGCCAAAGTGTTCCATTGAGGCGCTCGACCTGCCCATTGGCTTGAGGATTGTATGAGGTAGTACGACTGGTTGCTACGCCTTTCTCCAGAAGAAATGCCCGTAATTCGGTAGACATGAAAGCAGCGCCTCTGTCGGTATGTATGTAAGAAGGCATACCGAAAATCGAAAACAGTTGGCAAAGGCAATTCATTACCGTTTGAGACGACATGTCGGGGCAGGCGAATGCAAAGGGGAATCGAGAATATTCATCGATCAGCGTGAGCAGATAGTGATTGCGGCTAGCTGACGGTAGAGGTCCTTTAAAGTCGATGCTTAACCTTTCAAAAGGTTGGGTTGCTTTTATGAGTTTGAAATTAGAGGGATTGTAAAATTGAGGCTTTAACTCACAGCATGTCACGCATTTACTGGTTACATTGCGCACCTCGTCAAGGGAGAATGGAAGGTTTCTCGAGCGTACAAAATGCATCATTCGGACAACTCCAGGATGGCACATAGAGTCATGGAGAAATTTCAAGTCGCACACTGACTGCAAGGAACCGCAGAAACTACGGGAAAATGTATCAGCAGCTTGATTATCCCTTCCAGGACGATAAATGATGTCATATTGATAAGGGGATAGCTCAATTCTCCAACGCATTATTTTATCGTTCTTGATTTTGCCTTTATGAATCTTGTCAAACATGAATGCTACTGAACGTTGATCAGTGACAAGTTTGAAGTGATTTCCGAGAAGGTAATGCTTCCACTTACGAATTGCTTCAACCACGGCATAGGCTTCTTTCTCAACCGATGAATGATGTTTCTCACTTCGAGAGAGGCTTCGAGAAAAGAAGGCGACAGGTTTACCATTCTGGTTTAATGTAGCTGCAATTGAGACATCTGAAGCATCTGTTTCAACAACAAGGGGTGCTTTCGGATCAACTACCACAACGACTGCACGTTCTAAGTCGTCTTTCAGTTTGTCAAAAGCATTTCGAGTTTCGATATCAAGAGGGAAAATCCGATTATTTACCAATGGGTGGATTTTATCTGAGAAGCGAGGGATCCACTGTGAATAATAAGCAAATAATCCAACGGCCCGTTGTTGAGATTTGATATCTGTGGGTGGTTCTAGATCACGAAGAGGTTTTAGCCGATCGGGATCTGGTTTAATAACCCCTTTGAAACTTCATAACCGAGTAATTGTATGCTTCTGCTTGAGATCACACTTTTGGAATCATTAAGGGTTATTCCATAATTGCGTGCTGCTACCATAAACTTGTTTAGATTTTTGTCTGTTCCTCCTGAGTTTTGCCGCAGATAGTGACATTGTCAATGTAGGCAAACGTGCTTGTGAGTTGTTCTTTACTGATCAATTCATCGATAATGCGTTGAAAACAAGCTACGCCATTGGTAACACCAAAAGGAATTCGGCAAAATTGGTAAAGTTTCCCACAAGCCTCGAAAGCAGTATATGGTTTATCTTCGTTCCTTAGGGCAATTTGATGATAAGCATTCTTCAGATCAAGAGTGCTGAATATGTCATATTGTGCGATTTTTTCTATCATTTCGTCAATCCTAGGTAATGGGTAAGCATCCAGAAAAGTGAATCGATTGATTGTCTGACTATAATCAACTACCATCCTCTTTTTATGGCGTTCGTTTGACGTAACAAGAACTTGAGCTCGCCAAGGAGAATTAGAAGGTTCAATAACACCTTCTTGCAGTAACCGGTTGACTTCGGTGGAAATAAAACTTTCATCTTCACGAGAATAACGCCGGGATTTTATCGCGATCGGTTTACAGTCTTTTGAAAGATTTTCAAACAGAGTAGGCAGGTCGACGCGAACACAAGGTAGACCACAGAGAGAAAAAGGCGGCTTTGATCCCCCAAAAGGAATCTCAATGTGTTTGTGAAGTTTTAAAAAATCATGTCCAAGAAGGACGTCTGCACATAAATTATGAAGAATGGAAAATTTGAATAGATCATAAGTGTGGTTTTTATAGCAGATGGATAGAAACAATGTCCTTCAGTATGACTAGTAAGATTCGTACTCGCCATTGTGATTCTGTTTCGAGACTTATGGACTTTCCAGTTATACTTACGAACAACTGAGGAAGAGATGTAGCTCTCACTGCTTCCGGTATCCACTAGAGCTTGCATTGATTTCCCATTGACAGTAAGCTGCGTAACAGCATCAGTGAGACTTTGAGGTGCTGAAGCCACAACGAGAGATGAAATTATAGAGTTAACTGAAGATGGACCTTTTTTCGTAGATGGCGCAGACCTGCAAACCTTCTGAAAATGTCCTTGCTTGCCACAAGCTTTGCAAACTGCATCACGGGCGGGGCATTTGGAACGAGGATGTCTACGATTACCACAGAAAAAGCATTTGGATTCAACGGCAGCAATGGTTGTTTCATTGACGGAGGGTGTGGAATCTGATGAATGAGGTACATCATGTAAAGAAATGGACGCGCAAGGTGTAACAGGATTGTTGTATGACTGCGATTGTTGATGTGCCATCTCTAGAGCTCGTGCTTGATCGTATGCCGCTTGAAAAGTTAAAGTACGCTGTTCTAATAGCCTCTGGCGTATCATCGAAGACTGTATACCTGAGATGAATGAATCACGTAGAGATTCGTTACGATGTTCTTCGGCTGTAACGCCCTGAATGAACAATCTGTAGTCAGCGACTTGAGTCGACGAACAAACTGATCCAGATTTTCGCCAGATTCTTGTTTACACGTTGCTAACAAGTGTCGAGCAAACACTTCGTTGCAAGGCTGCATGTAGAGACTCTTGAGAGTGTCGATAGCTTCTTCGTATGTTTTGCATTCAGAAATGCATTCGTATACAGAAGTAGAAATATGATTGAAGAGAATATGTAGTTTCGAAGGATTTTCGGATCCCATTGATTCAATGAAGTAGGAAAGTCGCAAACCAGTGATCCCACTTCTTGGCAGCTCCAACTGCGTTAGGTTCTACGTCGAACCGATCAGGTCGGAAAAATCGTTCCATGAATATTGTAAAATGAATAAATTGTTACGAAGGTGATTGAGTCTTAGAACGATGAGTGATGCTTGAATCTTGAAAAGACGAATGAACCAAGAATTTAGGCTTTATTCATTTTACAATGAAGCCGGAATGGCTTAAACATATAAAGGAAAAAAAGAGTGTTAATAGCGGTAGAGATATGAATATGACTAGATACGTATTATAAGAAAGTTCACAACAAACCTAACCCTAACTTGTCACTGGCCCAAAACTTCCTTATCTTAATCTTTCCCAAACCTAAAGTGAAACTTGCTAGAAATCCCACTTAATAACATAACACTTCGATGAGCATATTTTATTGGTGATGACAACATTATTTGCCGGATTTCACTAACTTGCTCAGTAAGTGTTTCAAAGTCGCAATGGTGCGGTCGCACTCCTCGATTGGTAGTTAGTG